TGGCGGGAACCAGCAAAATGCCCCCACCAAGCCGAAGTGCACGCACTTCTCATCAAAAGAAAGTGTGGGCACTGGCAGCCCAACCCGCGCACATAGCAAGACCTCCGCGACCGCCATCTGCTTTTCGACTACGATTAGGTTTTCCTCCTTATGTCTCTCCTTGCTTGGTGACAAAAATCCCTCGCAAACAACCCTAATGAGACCCTAACTGTTACCAAAGGCTTCTCATTGGCCTCAGCTTTGTAATCGGGATCTTTTCTGTTTGGAAAAGTAAAGCTTCTCGTTGTGTGAGAGAAACTTACCGATTTTTAGCGCAGAGCTTTTGCATTTCACGCTAGTGTGACACCGTTTTATCGAAACTCTCAGTTGTTAAATGCTTTCGCATGTTTGCCTCTAGTAACCGCCTTAAACGTCGGTTGTCGAGCTCGTCGACACCGTTCTTTGGCTTTATCCCTTCATTGTAAAGGGAGCGCCCACAAATGCTTCTTCGTATACACTACCAGTCAGCGACACCTCGACACTCATATAGCTCATCATATAATCTTTTGGCGCTCCTCATGTGTAATGAATCCATTTTGTTGTCATTCTGTAGCGTACCCCCGAAGAGTCACTATTTTCACTTAATCGATGTTGTTTGAATCAGACTAGGCTGTATATTTGAAAGTTTTAATAAAAGTTTAACCAATTTCTCAAGTCATCATTTCGTTGTCATTGTAATTGTCGGGAATGCACAAGCCAGGGTTAAGTTGGCCAATCACGCTGATGTTTCGCTGATTTCACCTGATCAAAGCAGACCAAAAGAGCCAGATACAGAGGAGGTGCTCTCCCAGGACGTACTGCTGTGGCTGATTTTGTGAATTGACCGCAGCTCCCCTTAGGCTGCGTTCATACTTTGCGGCAGCGTCCACCAGCGTCTGCTAGCGTCTCAAGCGCTAGGGAAGTATAGGTATCGATCTAGCGTCTGCCAGCGTTTGGCAGCGTCCATTATAGTTCACCGGCGACCGAGAGTAGAGAAGTAGTAGAGTGAGTATGGAGAAGTAGGAGGGTAGCAAACAGCTGTAAGCGTCGTTTTGCCGCGTGTGCAACCGAAGCGCACAACTACTACAGCACAGAATTATGCAGTTTGATGTATGGTGTATGGTATGGTAGTTATAGGGTGCGATGCACACGCTGCAATTCCACGATGCCCAAACCAACTGCTGGTTACCCTCCTACATCGCCATACTCTTTACTCCTCACTGGTGAGAGCTGATGAACACTGGCGGACGCTAGAGCGATACCTATACTTTCCTAGCCGCTGACGCTGCCGCTGAACGCAGGTGGTCGCTGGTAGACGCTGTGGACGTTGCCGCAAAGTATGAACGCAGCCTTGGAGCCTTCGAAGAACAGTATACAAGGGAAGATAAGTATGAAGGCCAGCCCTTGGACCTTCAAAGAACAGTTATATAAAAGGAACGATTGGGAGCGCCTTATGCCTCTGAGGAAGTGCTATTACGGCCAGGGGATCGTTCTAGCGAGAAGGGTGGAAAACTAGATTGAACTTCTCCGATGACCTCACCAGATCTCGCGTTCAACCACGAGTCAAAGATTCCTGGTAATTCTCCAGAGGCAATAGCTTTTCCCTCGTCGGTTACTATGCGTTAAGCTTAAGACTCGATTGCGTGGTCCTTGCCGTGACAATAAGGGTGGCAGTTATCCACTTCCCCGCTTCAAAAATGCAGGGGAACAGGACTGGGCGGTGGTAGTGCCCGAGTGTCGCCTAGAGAACTTATCTGCAGTAGCGAACAAACAGAAGTGTGAGGGTGCAGATAAGTAGTGCGTAGGCTATGGCTAATGGCGTGGTGCGATGCCGCGGCGTCGCGTAGTATGGAGCCGGCACTTGCGATTACCTCTTTACAAGGTGAGGTGCTTTCAGGTCATGGCGCGCTTTTGGAAATTGCGTTTGTTTGCCTTGTTGTAGGCGGTCAATACAAGGAGTCAAAAAATTTAGTGGGCGCGGGGCGGGCGCGGCGGGGGGGGGGGGGGCCCGGCCGGCGGGCCGCGGGGCGGGCGCGGGGCGGGGGGGGCGGGGGCGGCCTTTTCATTTTTTGCTATGCGTTTCTGTGTAGGTCAAAAAAGGAGTGAAAAGAATTTGACAAGAATGGGCGGTTTTAACAACCTTAACGGGCTCCTCTCTGCTTGTTGACTTCGAGCATGCATAGTTTATGAGGTGGTCACTGATTAGGCCTCAAAATAGGTTCGATTAAAGTCAAAATGTAAGTATCATGTGGTAACACACTTGGCATGCACCGACGCAAGAGTGATGTTTTTGTCAGCAAACCCTTCACCACCACTGCAAACGGATCGGATGGCGCAGTGGATAACACGACGGGTTCTGGATGGCACGGCAATGGGGCACTTTGGATCGCGATCCTCTTATCGCGGAAAGTTTTGGCCCACCCTTTTTTCAGCCGTTCCATTCATTCACGTGCCTGTGTGTCTTGGCAGTGGAAAAATAAGTCAAGATATTATGTCATTTTGAAGGCATATAACTTTGTGGCCACATTGAATGGCCTCCGAAAGACGTGCTGTAGCTGACCCCTCGTAGCCTCATGATCAGAAAGGGTTACTATGCAGATGTAAAATACCATCCACAATTTATTCTTCAGCGGCAAGTTGGCAATAATCTACGCCTCTAGTACTGAACTTTTATGCCAATTATCACTGACGTCTATACGACTAACCCTCAACTTTTTGATCTGGAGAATATATAATTGTGAGAGCCGATTTGATGGATGACTGGTCGTTGCGATGAGCGAATCCTTTACTGCACCCCTTGAAAAAAGGGTGATCAGGAAAATGATGCAAGAACGAGGTCACGAAACAAGCTGAGCACAGGGTATTGTTTTGCGAAAAGACATGACTGAAGGGTTATTTCAGTGCAAAGACCAGTCATCACCAGTATGCTAGTCGGGTATTGGCTATCATCCAGCGTGACCATCTCTACCCCATTTTTTCGAAGTTGAGTCAGAACCTCGGATTTCCTCAAGGTGGCGTTTCTAGGAGGTTGTTTGACCTCCTGAACACGAATATGATATCTATTTTTCTCACGCCGATAGAGCTGTGTAGTCGCGCTGCAGGTGCAAATATCACTTGCCCAGCAAACCCCAAACCGAAGAAAAACAGTGAAGGAAAACCTCCATAACTCCGCTCAGAGAATCGCTCCGCAAATTTTGAAGGTAGTTTCCGAGTTCACTGTGTTAATACGAGTACAAAGATATGCACTCAAATGGCCAGGTTATCTTGGTGACCTTTCCTGGATGACACCTTATAAACTAGCACAGTTGTGTGGAGAACCTTGTTTCCGGAAATGTTCACGTTTTGTTGCGTTGATACAGATGCAAAACTGTTGCCGCAATGAGGATCCGAACCGAGTCCCGCATTGTCGTGCCATCCAGAATCCATCGTGCTATCCGCTACGCCATCCGATCCGCCAGCAATGGTCATGAAGGGAGCGCTGACAAAAACATCACTCCTAGGCGATTCCAGACCAAAGTGTGCTTACCTCATGATACTTACATTTTGACTCGAATCTATTTTATGGGCCTCAATTCAGCTGACCACCCAATTAAACTATGCATGCTCGATTAATAAGCGGAACGCGACGCCCAAGCAACATCTGTTAAAACCGCCCGAATTCCTGTCAAATTCTTCTCACTTAGTTTTTCGATCTACCAGAACGATAGCAAAAATGAAGGCCATTTTTGGGACCCTTGTATGGACCCCTACAACAAGCAACAAACCATTTCCAAAAAGCGCGCCATGACCTGAAACACCTCCTTGGCTTAGCTCCAGCAGCGTTTCGGGCCACTTCATTGACCGGGGAAAGTGGCACGCTACCCCCAGCTGCCTGCCCATTCACCTCAAGAATTTAGACATCAGGTTAAAGGAGATGCTACAGTTTGTCTTCGATGCTGAAACTGATGAGACCCTCCAGTAAGATTATGTGCCAACTTCATCGGGAGTAGTCAAGATTATCCCGGATCAGGACCAAGGCAACGATGGAAGCGTCGCTAGTGATAGTCCGCGAGATTCGTACCAGGACTCGACCTGGTGATGCCAGCTGCGTCATTTCACCTCCAGGTTGAACTACATATAATCCTGCGTACCTGATCCCTATGAGCCATGACGACGTTGAAAAGAAAGCTCAGCATGTACAGTCCACATCCCCTATACGGCGGGATCGGAGCGGTTGCTACGGTGCCACTCTATTCAACACGGCTTAGGCAGTCTGCAGGTATCTCCATTTGAGACAACTGTATTCTGTCTGGCAGTAAACAGAGAAATGATTGCAGCTGTCTCGAAACGGGAAAATCTCACCAAATTGTAGCCAGGGCGCTGTTCGGCTCAGGAAGGAGGGGGCATTTTCGCTAGCGTTTGATGGTTCCTCTCCATTTACACGTTTACCTACATAATGTAAAATCTGTATACTCCTGTTAGAGTGTTAAATTGAAGCTCCTCTTATTGTATCAACTGACAGCAATATACAGGTCTCCACAAGAAGCATCGACCAAAGATGGACAAAAACCACCAAAACAGGCCGTACTGTCCTCGCAGACCGTTTAAATGAAGTACGGAAGCACGCCTTCCACCTTACGGGATATCTATTGCTATGTGATTCGTTCGGGTATTCGAATATGAAGCTTCAGACGCCAAGTTCCGCGATTCTACGCCTCGATACAATCAACACCTTGACTAACGGATTAAATCCCTATTACACTGGCACAGCCACGGATTGCATTCCTTTTATACGAACAACAAACAGGGCGTGAACAAAACAATATCGTAATGTGATCCCATCGTCGGCGACGAAGAAAACTGCAAGTCCGCACAACGAGCGGGTGGCGAGATGACTTTCTTATTAAAACTCAGATCCACCAAAGCAAAACAACAAAACCATAATTTTGAGAACAACAACGGGCAAAAAAATTACGAGCACATATCTGAGATTAAGGCAACGTTTATACAGTCCTCCTGGGCAACCCTGGCATCTGTCTCCTGCATGCGTGTTCGCCACAATTCTTCACAGTTGGTCTATTCGACAAGCACAAGACACACAAGCTTCTTGTGGCGGCAGATATGGCGTTCTGACCAACCAAAATATCATAGCCAAATACACCATGGGTCTTGGAAAAGATTTCTAGTTTCATCCTTCGTTACCAAAATCATAAAGAAAAAGAAATTCAAAAAGATGGAGAAAAACGAACTTTTTTCACTACGCTTGGCTCCCAGATACAGGCAGCAAGATTGTCACCGACCTCTTCCTTATGGATATCAACGCCGGCCCAAATTTCACCTTGAATAATAGTAATAATTTCACCTTTGAAAATCCGCTAAATCTGATAGGACGGCCGTCAGACTCTGTAGAGACGCGCCTCGACACAGTTCCACGACAACAACGCTACAGCTGCTTATAGGACGCAACGCAGCAACAGTCGCGTTTTCGTTCGGCGCCAGTCATTAGTTTGGAAGAGTGCAGAAAACAAGAGTGCCAGACTGTGTGATTTGGCAACATGTACCCTCCTACTCTCTCAAAGCAGCAGCGGCTGGCTCCCAGCTATACACGTCGATGTTGCGTTCCCTCTGTAGCAGTGGAGGGCTGTTACAATGGTAGCGCATCGAAGCGAGCTACAGCGCGTCATCGCGAAGTCTGAACGCTCTCCAGAGGGTTAAAAGACCTTTGACATACCCAGTGAATGTCTGTGACGCAACTTGTTCAAAATATCGATCGCATCAATCCAGCATTATAGCACAGCTGTTGAGGTATAATCTGCAAGCAGAGGCAATCAGAAGAGATGCACTGATTTCAAAATGTGTTCCTCTAAACGGACTTCGAAACTACGCGCAAATGCATTCCAGAAGAACTGCTCCTTTCCGGGAATTGTCTTTGCTTTGGCACGTAGATGACGCGACAATTCCATTTCAATGGCTCCTCCACCTGAACAATTCAATTCGAAATGCCATTTTTTTGCAGTGAAACGTCCCAAAAAGAAAAATTCCGATCGAACGAGATAGTACTTTGCCGCCATCAGAACGCAGCGGCATGGCCAAGTTTGCTCTTCTCGACTACGAGAAGAAGCTCAGTGGAAAAACTCATCCATTCGCGTTGCAAGCACGGTTCAAAGCGGGCAGCGGAAGCGAAAGGCGTAGTCGTGCCGCCTCCACTACAGTGCCTAACAATCAGCCTAGCCGTTTATATGGTGAGGACAGTAAAAAGTGGAAAGAAAAGCAGCAGAGAAAGAGGATTGCGACACGATGGTAGTGCGATGCTTACAAGCGAGTTAGTGGTAGTGATGAGGAATACAGAAAAGTTGACTATCAGGGCGAAATACTTCAGTAAATGGCGGAACTGCAGAACAGTTCCCTTCGATTGTGAAAACGACGCAATCAGCTCTTACTCAAACGTTTTAGGTGAGGTTTGGCGAATTCCCAACACTTGGTTGTGACCTTATAACGGTATAACGTTTGCGTAGGAGCTGCCTGCGTCTTTTTCACAATCGAATGAAACTATTTTGCAGTTCCGCCATTTACTGAAGTATTTCGCTCTGACTGTCGACTTTTCTGTACAGGGGGTGGGGAGCAAAAAAAGACACTTTTCTTCCTTGACTTTCGAGGCGTTATAAGTTACACTTTATAAATTCTGACCAGACATTTCTACAACCATATTAGAGAGCATATTAAATACTATCACGATACTCCACCACAGCCTTCTGGAGGAGCGCCATCGAGAGATTCTGCCCACCCGACGTGCAGTGCAGTGCATGAGTTTAGCTCGAGTATTCTTTGATTTTGCCCTGTAGACCACCCTATTGAACTCCGCCCGAACCAGGTAATTGAGGGGGTTTAGTTCAGGTGACCTGCTTAGATATTCCACCTTCTTCAGGTACTCAGCCCCCTTCCATTCCAAGTAGGCGAGAGTTTTTCCAATGCCCTTCGATTCCATGTGGTGTCACCCAATCTGTGCTAGCAGTACAAATTATTACCGGTACGGTCAGACGACATGTGTTTGAGATATTTTCTTCTCCGGGTGTTGCTCGATGTGACCTCCAGCGCTCACCTCAGGTACCGCGGATCACGAAGAAACATCAGTTTCCCATTCAGGTACGTCCGTTTTCATTACCGTCAACCCGCGGCCTTGAGCGACTGCTGGTGAAGATTGCATGTTGGACCGCCTAGCGTGCGTTGTCAGAGCTGCTTCGATGTATGGAGTTTTCCAGAATCGAGAGTACTGGTCCTCCACGTCAGCTACCCATTGGTGACTCCATACTAGAAGTTTCGCAGCTGTTTGGAGGTGACATGAATTCCAAAGGTCTTCTCCAGTCAGGCTGCGACTGGAGATGACTTCATATTTTGGTGTACATGAAGGTGATGGGCGAGCCAGCTCCTGCTCATCGAGGAACATCTTGGTATCTTCCTGCCGCCCCCTGGTACTCGTCCTCCGTCTGGGCTGCGAAAGCTTTGCTGATATGTGACTCGGTCGAACTGTCTTTTTTTGCCCACCCCTGTATTCTCTCACCACTACCACTAGCTCACCTGTAAGCATCCACTATCTGTCCAGTCCTCTTTTCTCTCTTTTCCTTCCACATAAAGGGTTACCGATCGGAGCACAGTGGCGGAGGCGCAGGCCATCGACTTTCGCTCCGTACTCTTGCCGCAGTGACGTCAAAAATTCGCGCAGCAACGCGCATGGGTGAGCTTTTCTCTCTCTTTCCCGACGGAAAAGGACAAGACTACTTTGATTCGCGTTCTGAGGTTGAGCTTGGGAGAAGAATGGATATATAAGGACTCTCATTTGGAGCAGTACTAAATACTTATGACAAACTAGGCCACGATGATGCGCATAGCGACAACTAAGGCCGCTCGCTGTTCGGCTCTTTTATTTCCTTAGTGAACACTTTCTTTCCCGGTGCCTTCCGTAGTCCCGCAGTCGGTATCCTCCACCACGGGCACGCTATCAGTACTCCGTTTGAAATTTTCTGAACAGAGGGAACCACCAACAGGTCGTATCCGGCCTTTTACAATGAGATGTTATACATATGGACGTGGTCCTGAGCAGCTGAATCCGACGAATCTGCCCTCCGATTTTGCGGAACGATTCTCTGAAGGGAGTTACGGACCATTTAATCTTTGCTGTGTTTGCACAAGCTGACCAGGAAAGGCCAACACGTCAGCCCGGCCATTTGCAACGAAATGTACATCATTGTACTCACCTTGCCACGATGAACACAAGACTATCTTTAAATTTGCGGAACCGATTTCTTTCTGAGTGGAGCTTTGAGGTTTTTCTTTATGCTTTTTTCTTCTCGGGCGCGCAGGCGCCAAGCGTGGCACCTGTTAGTACGCAACTCACAACGCTCGTCTGCCAAAAATAGGTATCATATTTTTCGTTTTTCAGTGGAGGTCGAATAACCCCTAGAGACGTCACCCCAGCGGAATCCGAGGTTCTAACTCATTTTCGAGAAAATGGGTTATGAATAGCTGTGGCTGACTGATAGCCAAAGCGATACTACGACTACCATACTGATGATGACTGGTTTTCCAACTGAAATACCTCTTCATGTGCCTTTTCGCAAAGACATTACCCGGCTTACTTATTCTTGCCGTTTGCATCATCGTCCTCTTTACCACGAGGTAGTTCCATCTCGAGACCATTCACCAACGGTAGGTGAGCTCCCCTATGCTTTCGATTACCATGAAACAGCAACACATTTTCCAAGCTTATGCGTTGGTAATAATATCAGATTCGGCCTAGAAAATTTGGTCCCAGGGGTAGTTTTGACCCGGAACATGGGACATGATGGTATTTCATTGCAAAAAACCCTTGTGACATGTGGTTATCCTCATAATAAAAAAGTTTTCAAGAGGAACCCTACATGGGGAATCGCCCGCCTTTCGTTGGCAACTAATCAAGAAATTAGGCGAAATGGCCAAATAGAAATTTCGGAGGGCTCATACCAAGTGTTTTGAATGAAAAGCAAAAGATTTCTGGATAGCCAGGATTCAAACATGCGACTCGCTGTCTTTGAAGCAATGCATTATCCACTAGCCATCGGCGGCTACGCAAACAGTTTATCCTTCTCAACTTGAGCAAACGGAGCTAAGATTAAATGGTCCGTAACTCCCTTTGGAGAATCGTTCCGCAAAATCGGAGGGCAGATTTGGATTCGGCGGCTCAAGACACGTCCATATTTATACATCTCACTGCAAATGGCCGGATCGACCTGTTGGGGTTCCTTGTAAGTACCGACCCACTCCCTAAACATGTTTTCTCTCCATAGCTATATCACCCTCACGCTGCCTCCCCTCTCACCAACCTTATCGAAGAATTAACTTCAGCGGACATAAATGACACCAAAAATCATCCCCCACATACCTGCCACAATAGAATCGTTCTTCTTTGCACGACGAACAATCATAATAGCATCATGCAGTGAACGTTCTGTTTCTGCGATAAACTGTTCAGCGCCACCACGCCCAGCTAGCAGGTGCATGCGTGGAGCTTTGAACAGCCTTCAAAGAAGTTATACCTTGCGCGGTGTATACCACTGGGCTCCGTTCATACTTTGGCTCAGCGTTTTGAGCGACTAGGAAAGTCTAGATATCGATCTAGCGCGGCAGTGTATTGAGTATTTCGCGGGCAGTTTTGAGAATTTTGCGGGCAGTCGCTGAAAACGCTGGCGTAGGCACTAAACACTACCCTACACGCAAAACGCTGACGCAAAGTATAAACGCATTCCCAGTCCTGAATGGCGGGAACGCGCGCAGATTAGCAGAGCGGTTCCTCCCAACTGACTTAACGCAGCGCTGTTGAATAGAATTGGTCCTGGTACAAATGAAGCGCTCGCCACTTCGCTAAAACCCCTTCAGAAGTGACAATATACACCCAAATACAATTAAACTAAACCACTACTCAAACAAGGGACGCACCGTTCGTTCCCAACTTGCTGCTCGTAAAATGTGGCACATTTTCCAAGCACTGAGGTATCGATTTGAGAAACCGTGGTCAAGATTGATCCACCGCATGCAGCCATGACGCGATCCAGATCTTCTTGAGGGATACGACCGGCGCAGAACATATCTCTTGAAATGGTTACGCATTAAAATGGAAAACATTGCAGCTGCTAGATTTTACAACAAGGTTTTGAGGGCACTATGGCCGGGGGCGGGTGGTTGTCAAAAATGACATTGAAGGAAGGGCTGAAGGGCGTGCGGCAAACGCCTTCTCGCAACCTTTCCACCAATGACGCTGGCGACAACCGCCCGCCTCCGGTAATTGTGCACATTACCTTCAACCGAAGTGTACCCTAATGCCTATGTACCTGTCTGCAAACCATTGTGTAGCTACATCTCCGATTGGAAGCTTCGATAGCACTATCTTGGCACCACTATCGTGGATCTTTTGAAGCTTTTCATATAATATATTCCACTCCGCATCAACAACCTAAATTGGAGGTTTTCGCTATATCTTTACATGATCGATATGAAATAATACACAGTGGATATCAACATTGAAAAATCTGGCGTTAGTAACCTGAAGGGGGCACACTTGAGCGCCTACTTACGAGCACGAGCGCGGTCAGCAAAAAATGGACACGCAATTATGACTTATGCCTGCAGCTCCATTAAACAACAACTGGTTTGCCGGCGTCAAGCGTGACGGAGACATTTTCTGGTAAGCAGTACAACTAGCGCTACTGAACTTATGAGGGCCGTAGCGCTCGGGAGTCGGACAATCTCAAAGACTGTGGACCACATTATCTGAACAAGGAGATGTTTGCGCATTGATTGACTGAGGTCTGTCCTTAAGTTATGTTTGCAGGACTCTATAGTCCAGCTTCAGGCCACATTACTGTTCCTCGAATTTCAACAAATTTCTGCTCAGTTCGTAATATACTTACCGCCTGGAAATCCTCGACTGTAGTAAGACGCATTTCGGCATTTTCTTTTTCTGCTTTCAACTCCAGCTCGATATGAGTAAAACAACAAGTGGTCCTTAGTAGTAGTTTTCGGCACGCCATTTCGAACCCTGACGTAGCGAAAAGCCTTTTGGCAAGCCGCACCCCTGACGAGACGAGGACTCCTAACTCGGAACAACAGATGATCATGAGCAGTTCAGCTAGATTCCTAGGTATCGGCAAAACTCACGTTCAAATTTCCACCACTAACTTTCTTGATTCCTATCATGTTGAGTGGTAGGGATTCATCGAGGATGTTCACTGCGTCTACAACCATCTCAGCAAAAAATCTGCGCTCCTGACTCACTGTTAATAGTAAACCTATTAGGAAGACCCTCTGGATTTCAATTACATTCGTCTAGTTTCACAACTGGTTACGATAAAGTTGAGAGCGAGAAAAAAATTTTCAAGGACTCGCTCTGTATTCAATGATGTTAGGTCATGCGGCTCAAAGGCAGTTTGGCACGATAATTTGGTGCTCGCCCCAAATGCTAGTAGGGCGCTATATAGAGGGGAAATGGCGAAAGAACGGAGTGAAACAGTCAGAATCCTGCGAAGAAAGGAGCCCGTTGGTGTTAGTAATCAATTTTGGACGAGTTTCCCGTAGGCATCTTGCCAATAACCGCTACCGAAGGTACGGCTGCATATGTGTACTCATATATCCATGCAGCATCACGGCCGCTTCATACCAATCCTTCGCTTCATAATTTGCTTAGCAAATGAATCGATTAGAGCGTCAGGAACGGTCGTCCATTTGTGGGCGGGCGGGCGGGCAAAAAAAAGCAATATAATATACTTATTATCTAAAATAATTATCTCGTAAAAATATATTATCTAAATAAATAAATCATGACAAAAAAATATAAGCACAATCACCTACAAAACTTAATTACAGTTACACAATAAACACCCCCGGGTTTTCAAAATAAAAAACACAATACTAATAATACACACGAGAATTAACCTAATAAAACACTTTGAATTAATAATTAATAATACAACAACCAAAACAAACAAAATAAATAAGACTTATAAAATAAACGACTTAACATAAACGCGTGGCGCAGCGCGTTTGGATTGAACAAGTTGTGGCTCGACAAGGGACCCTTATAAGGACATCCTTAGAAAAGGCATTATGCAGCGCTGCTCAGGTCGCGGAATTCCGCTCTGACAGGCATTATCAGTCCTTACTCGTTTATGCAAGATTATCGTGGATAACTGCCCTTCAAATACTTCTACTAGGGAAGGTCGTCAGGTCGAAGTGGCCATTTGTAAGGAGATGTAGCTCACTAGACGTGGTTTTGGACGCTGATCTCGAATCTGCCTTCGAAATTTGCAGAACGATTCTCTGAACGGAATTATGAAGGTTTGTTAGAATTAAATGAAGGAAACAGAGTCGAGCGCGGTTGCTGGCCAATGCGCTCATTGAAGCCGGGATCGATTGCTTGTCTGGACAGAATTTGCTTTAGATACCAGGAAAACCTGAGAGATAACACATTGAAATGGTAAGAAAGTGGCAAAAGAACGAAGCTTTGTGAAGGAGAATGAGAGGATGTCTTATTCTGAATAGGCTCCGCAGAGCACCAACTGACTACCCAATGATGCATTTACTTTTCCACGATAAGTCAGGTTCAAAATGCCAGATTTACCTAGAAATTTTCTACCTAGGCGTAGTCGCCCCGCCCGGAAAATACGAATATGGCACTCGCTCAGCGCGAAAAACGCCTGCACTCCGCGCCAAGGGCACCTGTACATCTCCTAGATCATAAGGCACTAAGCGCGCCAGTAAGCGAACACAAACTGTTTTTCAGGCAAGTCAAGGAGAGCGCTAATGTAGTAGTGACGCTACAACCACTTTTTGCCACGTTTGCACAAGAAGCAAAAAAGTTAAGCTCAGCAGGGATCCGATCCCACGACCTGTTGCGTGGTAAACGGATGGAAAAAGCTCCATAACTCCGTTCAGAAGAATCGTTCTGCAAATTTCGAAGGCAGATTCGAGATCAGCGTCCAAAACCACGTCTAGTGAGCTACATCTCATTACAAATGGCCACTTCGACCTGACGACCTTCCCTAGTGAGATGAATAATAATTTCGCCAAGTACCACAAAAGCAAATCAAAAGGCAGAGAAAAATAACGCGAAGTGCCCCATTCGAGCGGTGGTAAAAGTTCTCACTTGTTAGTGTCAGCTCTTCCTACCTATCACCTCATTGTCTTCACTCTAATGAAGAGAGCAAATAGCGGATTAACCGCACCATCAGGAAACCTTCAGAAATAAGTTGGGTATTGCCGTTGCGACTGGGCAGGGCCGTAGCTTCCTTGCGAGTGAGTCGCGCTCTCCTCTGAAGTTTCTAAGCTGCGAAAAAGGTAGATCCTCCATGCTTGCGGGCAGGGATGCGGGGACTACCTTGTGCAATGAAAGAGTCTGAACATGAAATGAATGCGGAGCTTTTACATCAGTCAGCAAGAAAAAAAACATTCTCTACGGAACAGATATTATAGCACACGTCATACTGTAGTGTATTGAACTTCCAAGTTTCGTTTAAAAAAAGAAAGTCAGGGAAAAGTTCCTCAAGCAAAGTCCAAGAAGTTCCCACGAAGAAAAAAAATCAAGACTGGCGATAAAAAAACCCGCTGTTCAACACGGCACAGAAATGAAGCAGAAGAATTATCAGATGTAGAAACAAAGCAAACCCGAAATGGCAAAACTTACAAGTTTGCTGCTGAGTGTGGTCATTGCGCATTTGACCAGCATTTCCCGAAGTTCCTCTTCGCCTTCGATCTTTATGGCTAAGTGATCCAGATAATTCAGAGCCTTAATGGGATCAGTTTAGTAATGGCCACAAACACCTAACAGAGCGATAATGCTGACCTCTTCACTTGCTCTAGTTATTGCACGAATAAGTAATTGCGGATGAACTCCGTCCTCGATGAAGGGCTTTATCCTTTTGAGAATTTCTGCGGCTAGCACAACAACTGAAGCGTACACTTTCACATTTTTTACAAATGCGCTTGAAATCAGTTCAAGCTGCACACTAACCTGATGTGGTTCCATCACCAACTTCAGCGTCTTGAGATTTGGCAATATCGACCATGACATTGGCAGCAGGAAAAACGATATCCAAAAGTTTCAAGATGGTTGCGCCATCGTTAGAAATAGTCGTCTTACCTGAAATCCAAAGGTATGCACAACTCACTTACAACGAGAATTCGAACGAACAACAGCTCTGCTTGAGCCGTATGAAAGGAACATCAGGAAGGGGGGGGGGGTAATTATTCAGAACCACACCTTCTTTATCCGCCACTGCTGTAGTGCGACATTGCTTCAATCTGAACGTTTACCTTCATGTTGCCCGTACCCCTCCTCTCCTCTGACCCCAATTCAACACCAGAACAGTTCTGGTATCAGGGCATGGAGCGGGGGGATATACTTATATAGCACGTATGAAACGGGAAGCACAACGAAAATTCAACAATCGCCCAACTTTTTTTTCAAGACACCTCTTGATGTTAAATACGATTTCCGCCTGTAGAAGCTTACCCAACATGTAGAAAGTGCGCGTCTACCAGAAAAAAATCGACAACCAAAAAAATTCTCAAGCCAAAACACCCTGTAGAATATCCCCACGTAGGACGGCTCCTGTGTTGAACACTTACGAGTAGCTTCATCTCTAAATCTCCAGGGATTTCTAGAGCCTATAACCACCAAGTAGCACCCAATCCTGTGACGGACTCCAAATCATTTGAGTCGCTTGAGAATCCCGACAAATTAATCATTAGATGAAGAGAACCCCTCAATGATTATGTACCCTAACACAGTTTGAGAAAGAGTATCGCGCAAAAGGAGCTATGCACTTCTATATGAGATCAAGCATATGTTAACTAGTCAAGAACACAAGGAATAGGCTAGGGCTTAACGTGAACCATGATTTTCTCTTACTACAATGCTCATTGTTAACAGTCAATGGTACGTGCCATCTACTTTTACAATTCAAATTAAAAAAAAGGAAATATAAAAGAAATGAGCTAAAGTGACAGTGAAACCGACCTTTGCTGTCAACGATCAGTTTATCCAATCCTCTAGGACCCAAAGTAGTGCGAATACTGTCGGCTACGACCTGAAGAAAAGATACCTGCAGTCCGTCTGGCATGAAGTGTGTACTTCTTGGATGTGGTTTTTTTCTTGCTTCCTAATGAGAAACTCCTATGACGTCATTACTGCTGCCAGCATCATTAGAAATCACCTTCACAACACGCGACCCTCGACCATCCAATCTCACGGGCGACTGTGGCTGGAGAACATTAGAAAGCGTGTAACCGCTACCAAAAGGATGTTGTATAACAGCCTTGGATTGGCTTTTCTGATCACTCCAAATTAGTCGTACTTTCAGTGGTTTTAACACCCGGGTGGCGTGATATCTGCCGTCCCCCCAGTGCTGAGATTGCAGGCCATGTGGTAAAAAACCCAATTGAATACGTTCGAATTTTCAACAGGCCACATATTTTCCAGGAAACACGTGGTAGAATACTACAGTACTGCGAGACACGTCAGGTTGCGGTCATCTTGGAAGGTGTTGTACGAGTAAGACTAACGAAAAGGCATTTCCTAGAAGAAGCGGTCGTTTTGGAATAAATAAAGCTGAAAGCTCATCATGAGGATAGCTAATGGATAAGGCTAATCCTGTTTTGCATACGATGACAGATTTGGAATCGAATCCAATTTTTATTCACTCTGCGAGCCGAAAACTTACTTTCCTTTTGTGCCGTGATCCGTTCTCACGTTCCCACGTGTAATACGACGTCGAGTATCCATGAAACTTACGTTTATCTGAAAATAAACAAAAACATGTGAAGCCCTTACCAGGGTCGCATTTGAATTCTATCTTCTTCAATGGCGGTATAAACGCCTCTAGCATTTAGGTAGCATCTTCGAAAAAGGGAAAAACGGCACATGGGTCCCACGCGGCACGGAAAAGGCGCATTATCACCCATTGTTGTAAAAATGATGAGTTTAGCAGAGTGCTTTTCCCGGACAAGACTATGAGTACGCTGGAAAACATGAAGTGCATGGTAAGAGAGCCACACTGTCCAAGCATACAACTGCGGGGACCCTGTGGGGAAGATACTGCACGTGTACGGTGGTATGTAGAGGACTACCTGGAAGACTGTGTGGTACACTTCACTATCCCAAAGTGGGGACGGCAGTGACACGTGCGTCTTCATCTCAGCATGATTTCAAATCATTTTTTTGCGTGGATAGTGTCGCCAGTCAAGGCACGTTCAATCGTTTTTTGTGCAGGAAGTAAATAACCACGGCTGTCCAAAACCGGTCATGTATATACCAGCCAAAAGTCGCAGGCCGCTCCATTTCAAATAATAGATCGCTATGCACGACCTCTCCATGTCCCGGACATGGAGTGTTTATATATTTAATACAAGAAGGAGGAGAGCTCGGCGCAGCCGAGCGACTGGTGTGGAATTAATGACGACGTTGTTTATCTAACTAAACGTCGTCACTAATACGTCAGTTATCACAGCTTTGTTAACATCGACCATTTGATTGCAGTGCACTTCTTTCAGCGGTCTAGTAACTTGCCACTACCGATAAAAGAGAGGATGGCCAAAAGAATGGTAACTGAATAAATACGGAGCAATCGTAATGCGGTTGTAAGCGGTGATGAGGATTTAGCCGTGAAAGATTGTCGTTTTCAGTCATCATTTCCTGTAATCTCTTTCTGACACCCTTTCCCTACCTTTGTCCTTTTTCCTGCTGTATCGCATACTGGAAAAAATGCTCTATACTTGCTGCGCCGCGCACTATGAATTTCGATAATCTTTCTTCTGGCGCCTCCTAGGAGCCCTCAAACCTGTGCTTTCCTTTACACTTCACCTACTTTAACCTTTGCTTTACCGTTCTTTTCTTTGCCTTCGTACCAAAAATACCTCTTGAACATACACGGAAACTCAAGCAGCTTGGTGAATCAGCCGCTGAAGCAACCTACCGCTTTTATCATTGCTCACCCCGAGAGTGCCTCGCTCTATGGTGCGCCCCGCACTCAGCACTGCGAGGCTCAGAATGGCCCTCACTAAGGTTGTTGATAATCATGGTAAGCTACTATAACGGCACCTTATGAACAACTATCATACATCTGGAATCCGCTTACTTTAGCGGTCGCATCTAAGGTTACTTTTGATAGGAGGGGAGGCATGGGCATGTGTGTGTTTCACACTACTAAGAGTCTGATACAACTGAGATAACTTCTGAGAGTTTCGGTGAGTCTCCCACTCTAGAACCCTTGATAGTATCTTATATCTGCTGGTATCGCTTGTCACCCGTCATTACTGTTCCCGTCCCACCTCTATATCACTCCTTAGGACCACGAACCCACTGCTGCTGTAACCTGCGTTTCGAATTTGGTGACCCTCCCCTTCTAAGGCCCCTTATCGTATCTTATCGGTTGTTATCATTTTCTGTCACCCGCGTATAGTGTTCCCGTCCCACCCCTTACAATACTCCTTGGAACCACGGTCCCACTGTTGGTGGAACCTGCGCTACGAATCTGGTGATCCTAGTGTTCTGAAGCCCATTATCGTATCTTATCAGCTCTATCACTTCCTGTCAGCTTATCAAAACCAAGGTCCCACTAATGCTGTCACCCGCGTTATGAATATGGTGACTCCCCTTCTAACGCCTCTTATCGTATCTTATCAACTGATATCACTTCCTGTCACCCACCAATAGTGTTCCCGTCACACCGCCTACATCACTTCTTGAAATCAATGTCTCACTGCTACTGGGACCGGCGCTATGAATTTCGTGACACACAGACAGACGCACACACAAACATACACACACTGACAGACATACTTAGTGAATTATATAGAGTAGGATGTTTAGCATCGGCATTAATTAAAGCGTACGCAGTGCTTCTAGCGACCATTATTACTCAATGAAGAGCTGGATATGCAAAATAAAGTTCCACAAACACTTTTCAGGATGCTCTGGAACATTCTCACTACTTAACCATTGCTTGTACAAGCTCCATCCTCAAGATATGGAATCTTGTGGAGCCTTAATTCTGATCAAGTCCAATGCTAGTGGCAGCGCTCCTCCCCAAAAAAAGCAGGAAACGGATATATACCTGGCAAGCATTGATGTTGGAAATGATCTGCTGTTTCCCTTGCTTATTTTCAGTCCCTTCTTTGAGAAGAATTATCGGTGGTCGCATCATCTTTGCACGTCGGCCGTCGAACAGTTACCCTGTTAAAATTATAAAACTATTTGCTCAGACGATGAGCACGAGAACAAAGAGCGAGAAGAAGAAGAGAAACTATGCAACTTGTGAGGAACAATGAAGAAACAATGAAGCGAGGAAGCATCGTAAATTTCTTCTCGAATCTATTCTGTACTTGCGCCCTTTAATATCGATTGGAGCGCGAAAACTAGAGCCCCTTGCCAGTCTGCTCCAAAAAACTTGTAGAAAACTATGGGTCAGGGTTTTCATAGGGCTACCTATAATCTTGATTATCACTAGCACTAGCAATATGCGTGATCGAGCAGTAGCATTGCAAGGAATACAGTTAGAGAAGAGCGAGAGACGCGTTATCACAAGATTGGCAAAGCAAACCCCTTTGAAACAAGCCGAATCCTTCATCCCTTTACCTTTGGCTATTTAAATAGGACTGGAATCGCCTGGAAGAGTGACTGCACAGGCATAAATAGTTGGCCCGCCTGCGTTTTATACCATTAATGGTCGGTTCAGGTGGAAAACCACCAGTGGTAGAAAATACCGCCGGTGGCTCGTCCCACGTCCCTTGGCACTGCCATGCCGGATTGCGACTATATTATAGTCAGAGAAAAACCTACTACAGGGAACTACCCAGCGGTGGATCGTTTTTGATCAACGGAGTGAGGGGGTCGTATATGGCGTGAGAATTTTTTTAATAACCGATACACCCTAGTTGGTGGCGCTGCTGAAGTCCCATATCATTATATTCGATAGATGCAACTAATAGCTGTTCAGTGCATCCCCTCCTATGCGAAGCAGTTGAGAGAATTTAGGAAGATGATAGGTAGCGTGAGGAAGAGAGGGGTCGTAGCAGAGGAAGCTTGGGAGAGAGCCTGCTCTGCAGAAATTTTCCTCACCAACAGGAAGCGGATTTTCAACTGTTCGTAAGTCATGGATTTCGATGGACCTGGTGCATGTCTGCCACTTCAATCCTTTCCTTTGCTAGCAGAAAGTTTTTTTGTAAAGCTTATAACCATTGACCATTTTTATTCCCTCGCGAAAAAACCAGAGAGTTTTGGAGTGATCCCAAGCAGGGCATGACGAGCCATCCTTCCCAGTTTCGGCAAACGTGAGATGCTTACTAGATAGTGGGTCCCGCTTTTGGACTCTCCCCAACTAGCGAATGTAACCAGCGCCTCCCAAGCCTTTTATCGGATGTTTGAGCATGGATATTTTAGTATGGGGAAACAAAAAGGAATGCAATGATACAAACCAAAATTAGCGCGGAATCAGAATTAGAAGAAAAAAG